TTGAAAAATGCTTGTTCTTTGATAAGCCCCACTCAAGACAATTAGGATGAATTGTTGCAGGTCGTGGAATTCGCTGTGAACAATTCGGTGCATGAAAGCACACATGAGAAACCCTTTGTCCCGAACTGTGGTCGGCACCCCACAAACCCTGCGACGCATGGGATTAAGAACCTCAAAATCCCAGCCGCAAAGGACTTTATTGGAAAAAAACAAGCGGCATTGAAGTCCGCTCGCCACTGTCTGCAGCTTGCCCAACAGACGCAAAAGTCATATGCCAACATGAAACGCTGAGAAGTCATTTATGCAGTTGGCGACAAAGTATTATTGAGTATGAATAGCATTCGTCTCAGGATCCCATGAGCACGAAAGCTCTTTCCTCGTTGGATTGGGCCCATAGAGGTGATTGCACGCGTTGGTGAGGTCGTGTATAGGCTTAAGTTGCCTGCGACATTGCAGATTCACAATGACTTCCACGTGTCTCTACTGAATAAGTATGTTGCTAACTCGGGGACGGACTCTTTTACGAAGTCAAGCGTGTGCTAACGCACCGTGATCGACAACGCGGCCACAAAACTGTGCGTGAGTTCCTAATTCAGTGGAAAGGCTATGGGCCGGAACACAGCTCTTGGGAGCCTGAGGAACACTTGACCGAAGCAGCGGTTCAAGCGTATATGGAAGACCTGGGTCTACGAGTAGGCCACAACCAGTGGACGGGGTTGACCATGGTCGTAATGTGGTGCGCCATGCTCAAAGCACTCGTCCTAAGAAGGCCCCTTGGGCAACGGGGACGTTGCGACTTGGGGGGGGGGAGGAGTGTAACCCATTGTCGGTGGGAAGTGAGGGAGTGGCAACGGTGGGGAGTGAGGAGAGGCCACGGTGGAGTGAGGAGAGGCGACTGCAGAGTGTTACCAATGACTAAAAACGGATAGCTGGTAGGGAGTAGCGACGGCAGGATGAGCGATGGCAGGGTTGGGAATAGTAAAGCAGGTGCTTGAATTCAAGAAACCTAGACAAGACTGCCTAGGTAAGGAAATCTTGGGGTTGTGTGGCGCTGGCAATTGTTTTTTTTGCCTAAACAAAACGAGGCAGCAAAACGGTTTTTACAATACAAAACAGTTTGAAATACACTTTTCAAAATTTAAAGATTATGAGAAGACTTGTAAAGGAGGTTGCAGTAAGGAGTCACAATCTCTCGTGGTGCCACCTAGTCCAATTCATTTCTACATCTAGAACAGCACACTCTACGAAGTTTCCCTCAACCTCTGCTAGCTCCTCCCTTGTTGTTCCTGCTATGTTTATTTTCCTACTAATGCCGTTCCATGCAATGGTAACTCAGCAACTGCTGCTATTTCGGGAGTGGCGCAGGCGACAAGTTCGTTTTGGTTTCTGGCGCGCGATACGATGATGCGGCTGGGGCGCGACCTAATGTTGCTGGCGCGCTACATGCTCTTGCTGCCGGCGCTCAATCTGCTTTTGTTGCGCTTGCGATAGCTGCCGGCGCGTGCGCGATCTGCTGCTGCTGGTGCGTTTACGATCTGATGCTGCTAGCATGGGCGCGATCTGTGACTGCTGGCGTGTGCCCGATCCACTGCTGCTGGCGTGGGCGCGATCTGCAGCTGCTGGCATGGGCACGATCTGCAGCTGCTTGCATGGGCGCGATCTGCAGCTGCTGGCATGGGCGCGATTTGCTGCTGCTGGTGCGTGCATGACCTGCTGCACACCCTGCTACTGTTGGCGTGGGCGTGATCTGTTGCTTCTGGCGTATGCGTGATCTACTGCTACTGGCATGTGCTCGATCTGCTGCTGCTGGCAATTTCGTGATCTGCTGCTGCTGCCGTGCGTTCTATCCGCTACTGATGGCGTTTTTACGATCTGCTGCTATTGGCGTCAGCGCGATCTGCCGCTGCTGCTGCGTGCGCGATCTGCTACTGCAATGTTGCTGCTGCTACTGGTTGCGATATGCTCCTGATTCTGCACGATCGCTGCTGCTACGCGCGATCGCCGCTGCAGGCCCGCGTTGCAATAGCTGTCGTGCGTTTTTCTGCTGCTACGCGCGATCGACGCTGCTGCCAGGATCGCCGCGGCTGACGCAATCGCCGCCGCTGGCGCGGTCACCACTGCTGGCGAGGTCGCCGCTGCTGGTGTGGCCGCTGCTACTGCTCGCTAGTGCCTCTACTGTGGCATGATGTGCTGGTGGTGGGTCGCCTTGCGTGGCGGGATAGAGGCTACTACAGCTACACAATTGTCTGTGCTGGAGATGGTGTTGCGAGTAACAGATGCTGCAATTGCACTTACTGGTGTAACTACACCATTTGGTGTCAAGAGATTGGTGGCCTTAGAAGATTATTGCATTCCGTGCAAGGGGCACAGCATGACATGGGCAGTATCATGCACCAAAAGGGGCCTAGCGTAAAATTTATGTTGTGATCAATATCTGCCAGGGTGGATGCCAATTATAAAGAGCGTTAAAAAAAAAGCATACTGTATTGTTCCGTAAACCCAAGGGCTATAGGCCCCACGATATCAGGGCAAAACATCCTGATTACCCTGAATTCAGGATGCATATTTGATTTTGCCGTCATTTCAGAATAATGTCATTTTTTACCCTGAGCTCTCAGGATGTTTTTATATGACATGCCCTGGAAAATCAGGATGGTTGTGGTGTACTTCCCTGTAGCGTCAGGATGAATGTCGAGCCTTGCCCTGACGAGTTTTTTTTTTTGGGGGGTGGGGGGGGGGGGGGGGGGGGGTACCGTTTCCCGAGAATTTCTTCCCCGTAAAAATTTCCGCCGCGGATTGCTTTCCCCGTGCATTTGTCCCGCCTTCGCGATCCCCTTGCACTTTTGACCCTACGCAACGCAACAACCAAACCCATCAGACGGGGAAAACACAGTACCCTCCCATCTCGTCAAGTGCCATGCATGAACTAGGTGGGTGACTCTATGCTGTTAGAGTAGCAACACAAGTGAAGCTCGGCTGGCTCACTCGCACTAGTAATGGCCAACGAGGAAAATGTCGCGGCGCCAGTATCATCGGCAAACCCGGTCTTAACTAGTCGACCACAGGGTTTGACAGGATTAGATTTCTTGCGTGCTGTCCATACCGTGACCACTTTACCGGTAGTTTCACCCGCTGCTGGTTCATCTCCAACTCAAGCAGTAATACCACCCCGTGCTAGTACAATCCCCACCCATGATTTAGGACCTGGTGCAACTCGGATCGGCCCTGCCACTGGTAGTTACTTTGTGGTTGGTGTCGAGAAATCAGCCCTGTAGTTACTGGCGAACATACTGAATCACGGGATGCGAGGCTTGGGGCCTCCCGAACGTAAACCTTCTGGAAAGTTACTTGCAGGCTGGAACGAATGTGTAATCGGCGAAAGGCCCGATCAGTTGGGAAGTCTCACGAGAAGGTGTAACTCAGCATTAGCGAACGGCTTTGTCGCCTTTCATTTGTTCGTGATTTCTATCAGCAGTAATTGCGATCGTTTTCATTGGTCGAAATCAATGTAGGTTGATGGCCGCGCCTAATCACAGCATTTCGCGCGTAATAGTGTCAGTCGCCTCTGGCGTTTGTTATTGGTGTTGGGTTTGTGAGAGAAAAGCTCATGTCAGTTGATGTCAAATCCATCGCGTTATCTCAGCCGTCCTATACTCGACAGGTGTCCGAAATTTGAGAGTTTTCTCCACACATTTCGGAATGTACATGGTCACGTGGGCGTTCAGACGAACGCCACCTTGGCAAGAAAGTAGTGGTGAATAACTTACCAGTATTCGTAACAGTTACGTTGTTACTTATCGCGTTACATTTGACAGTTAGTACACTTCCATATAGGCATATATCAAATGTTTATCATAGCCTACAAATAGCATATTTATTTTGTATTATGGTGAATTAGTTATTAGATATTATATAATACTGATAATTTATATTGGTAATTAGATATTACTAAAAGCAAATTACAAATTAGGTCTAAAGACAACAATTAGCAGAAACTACAAACACGTGCACAAAAGCACGCACTCACACAAACTACAGCAAACTACCAAGAGTTGGGCCGACACACACACTTGCACTCTACGCGTTAGGCACTCATACACTGCAACCGTCTTAACATTAGGGGCCCTGCAATCCCGGCAGCCCCTCGCAACTGATGAAGACCCTCTTCGTTGCCTCGTTAAACTTCCACGCTTTGTACTCAGCCTGCCACCAAGGACCCGTCGCAGGACTCCGGTTCTGAACAGCAAAAGCAACGGCGTTGTGCACGTTGGAATGGTAGATCGCAAGAGCACGCTTGTTGTCAACTGAGCTGCGCGACATCTCTTCGTTCTTCAGGAGCTTGTACTCAACCTGCAGCACCAAGAAGGGGATCCTTAGAGCAACGACAGTAATGGCAAACATTCTCATGCATGCTTCAAAAATTTACATACCCCTAGCAGGAAGAAGGCGATCTGCTTGAAACGGAGGACTAAGACAGCATGCCCCGGCCTCTCAAACGAGTGGAAGATCGCAAGGGTGAAAAAGTCAGAGGCGAAAGGGATCCCCAGTCGATTATGATGCCACGTCAACAAGTCCCACGAAAGAGCACCTGTAGGGTGCGGAAGGTTGGAAGGGTGTGGGTGTTGAGGTCAGGATGGGAGAGAGTTGTGAAATCAATTGAATGTTCATTGCATCCCACGCCCACAGCAGTGCAGCGGGCTGCCTGCGGGGGGGATGGAGAGCACAGGCATGTGGGCAGTGGGTGGGGAATCAAGTGGTGGGAGGGGAGTTTTTGAATCATTGTGGCCTTGCATCCCACGCCCACAACAATGCAACAAGCTGCCTGCAGCATACGGTGAGCACAGGCAGTGAGCACAAAGGGGTGGGATCCAGTGGTGGGAGGGGGGTTTACTCCACCTTGCATCTCACGCCCACAGCAGTGCAACATGCTGCCTGCACGGAGATGGTGAGCACAGGCAGTGGGACTTGGGTGGGGATCAATTGGTGGGAGGGGAGTTTAACTAAGGGCACGCCGCCTTGCATCCCACGCCCACAGCAGTGCACCGGGCTGCCTGCAGGGTGATGGTGAGCACAGGCAGTGGGACTTGGGTGGGGATCAATTGGTGGGAGGGGAGTTTAACTAAAGGCACGCCGCCTTGCATCCCACGCCCACAGCAGTGCACCGGGCTGCCTGCATGGGGATGGTGGGCTGGGGAAAATGGTATTGGAAGATGCAAGGTAAGAGTTGACGGGAAAACCGAGATGCTGTGACAGCCTAACTGCCATCTGCTAGCCAGGGTTTGAGCGGTCTGTTGGGGAATGGTGTAGCCATCATCTTACTAGCAGGGTAGGAGGCACAGAACGCCGCAGGCGACAGCGTTCCGATCTCGACCCGGTTGCGGTCCGGACGTTTGATGCGAATGTCAAATCTTTCGTACAGCAAGACACGACCCGTGGTGAGGGTCTTGTTCCTCGCATCCTGAAGCTTCTTTCGAAGGTGCCTAGGCCGAGCCGTTTCGTTCTCCATGACAAGGCGCAGGTTAGCCACTCCCTCAGGATCTGTGATGTTTAGAGCCGTGCAGAGGGCGGTGATGTTGGTGTCCCGCGGCGTCCAATACTCCAGGTCCACATCCGAAGTTTCGAAGTAAAGGATCTCCACAGCTCGACTCGCGGCCCCCTGACACGGGAACATGGGGGGTGATAGGTGGTTAGAGGGATTACTTGTGGGATAACAACGCACTGCCCCCTGCTGTGAAATACACAGCAGGGCAGCAGAAATGGCGCATGTAATAACCTGCAAATGGGCGGTCTGACATGGGTATGGAGTCAATGGTGGGTCCCAATGGGTGAAAACAGCACTAGAAGTCCGTTGCCTCCGCCAAGGACCATACAAACGGTACGGCAGTAGGATGTAATGCACTGGGTGGGGAGTGGGACACCGTTGGGACATTACCTTGAACCCATTGTGGATATCTGGCATGCTGGCCAACGCGTCAGCGTACCGATGCGCCCACGTCCGCTGCATGCTCGACAGTTGCTGCAAGTCCAAAATAGTGTCCCGGCTGTGGGCCGTCCTGACCGCATTTATGATAGCCACCCGATTCGGTTCCACGAGTAGAGTTCTCGGGAACGACGCCTGGAGCGTGTTTCCTGCCACGCCATTAGGAGTAGGCGCGCTCGGACCAGCCGCTGCAGCACCACTTCCAGCCGCTGCAGCACCACTTCCAGCCGCTGCAGCACCACTTCCAGCCGCTGCGGCACCACTTCCAGCCGCTGCAGCACCAGGACCAGCCGCTCCCATACCGTGAGCATCAGCATCACCTGAGGAGTTGCCAGGGTTGCTCGCTTCGTCCGGAGCGTCTTCGCTGGTATGGTTAGCAACACCGTGCGACAGGCGACGGTTCTCATTTTCAGCTTCCATAAGGCGGCGGCGCAGCTCACGTGCCTCAGCCTGAGCAGCATCGAACTCTTCCCGGGAGATAAGGTCCACTCCTTGTCCCGCTTCCTCATCGGCATCACTATACTCATCTAGCCCCTCGTAACCAGGCTCAGGTACCTGAGGTTCCATCTCCGGGAAAGCTTCAGGGTCTAGGGGCTGCATATAGTCAGTCGGGGCGCCATCATCCCCATACCCAGTAGAAGGGGTATGCAGACCCTCGGGTTGCATCGGTGCCTGCTGCTGTTGCTGCTGCTGCACATGCGGCGAAGATGGCACATCCGCGGGCAGCTGTTGCTGCTGCCCATACGGTGAGGCATGCAGATCCGTGGCGGGCTGCTGCTGCTGCTGCCCATACGGTGAGGCATGCAGATCCGTGGCGGGCTGCTGCTGCTGCTGCCCATACGGTGAGGCATGCAGATCCGTGGCGGGCTGCTGCTGCTGCTGCCCATACGGTGAGGCATGCAGATCCGTGGCGGGCTGCTGCTGCTGCTGCTGCCCATACGGTGAGGCATGCAGATCCGTGGCGGGCTGCTGCTGCTGCTGCCCATACGGTGAGGCATGCAGATCCGTGGCGGGCTGCTGCTGCTGCTCCTGCAGTCCATTAGTCGAGGTTTGCAGACCCGTGGTGGTCTGCAACTGCTGCTCCTGATGTCCAATGGTTGGGGTGAGGCGAGGAGAGTTGGGCAGCTGCTGCTGCTGATGTCCAATGGTTGGGGTGAGGCGAGGAGAGTTGGGCAGCTGCTGCAGCTGCAGTCCAGTGGTTGGCGTGGCACGAGGAGAGTTCCGCTGCTGCTGCTGCTGCTGCTGCTGCTGCCCATACGGTGAGGTAGGCAGACCAGTGGTGGTCTGCAGCTGCTGCTGCTGCTGCTGCTGCTGCTGCTGTCCGGTGGTTGGGGTGGCACGAGAAGAGTTCCGCAGCTGCTGCTGCTGCTGCTGCTGCTGCTGCTGCCCATACGGTGAGGTAGGCAGACCAGTGGTGGTCTGCAGCTGCTGCTGCTGCTGCTGCTGTCCGGTGGTTGGGGTGGCACGAGAAGAGTTCCGCAGCTGCTGCTGCTGCTGCTGCTGCTGCTGCTGCTGCTGCTGCCCATACGGTGAGGTAGGCAGACCAGTGGTGCTCTGCAGCTGCTGCTGCTGCTGCTGTCCAGTGGTTGGGGTGACGCGAGCAGAGTTCCGCTGCTGCTGCTGCTGCTGTCTAGATGTTGGCGTGGCGCGAGCAGAGTTGGGCCGCAGCTGATGTTGATTTGAGCCTCTGCGAACCGTCGTGCGGCGAGGACCCGTCCGGCGGCCCCCAGTCGTCCCAGTTGTACTCGCCGGGTTGTGAAGTCCTCCCAGGGACAGCTGGTTGAGTGGAAGGGTTCTCTCGCCTGCACATCATCAAGACACACACATTCTTAGTATACAGCACCGTAGGCTATTTACGTACAACAAACCAAACTCTCGCGGAAATCAGCTTACAAGTACGAAGTGAAACGTCTTGAATAGTGCTTACCATTGCTGGGTGTTGTCGCCGCCGTTGCCTGCACCGATTCTTCACGGTCCCCTTCTCCTAGAGCACGAACTGAGGCCAACACGGATGAGTACCGGTTATTTGTGCCTCTACCAGGTCTATCAAACCGGCGCCCTTCGGCAGTATCCATGGTCGATCTAACACCACGTCTAAAACGTTAAGAAACATACTATCAGTATGTTTCAACGTGCTTTTTATAGTCGCCAAGCCATCACCAGCAATGTATCTATCCGTCGCCAGGTTCACGGACGCACCGCTCTTGAGCTCGAGTGGTTCTCTGCGGTTCTCAAACCGCTCGTGCTGCAGCGTGCTAACCTTCGAATTTCGAAATTTGAAAACGGGTCGAAACAGCTCTCAGGCCCTCTACGGTTGTGTCTATGTTTTGAGATACGTGCGTGGGTAAATCGGCAACCGCGCGTGATACCAGCAGATGTGACGAAGGTTTCGTTGAAACGGAAGGTGTAAAAACGATGGTCCAGGTTCTTACCTGGTAGAGCCCTCGACATAATGTCGCCAGCGGGGAAATTGTTACAGCAGCCTGCTTCCGATTGGCGAGAAACAAGCGCACCGCAGGGTCGATTTGCAGTCCAGTTACAGAAACGGGCTGGTATCTCGTGTCGCAAGTTCATCCCCACCGAACAAGCATGACAGATACAATGGCGCGGAAGCAGGGGAGGGTCACGACGTGGGCCAGCTGGACAGGTTCTCAGTCAGCCTACCAGTAGCTGGGGGGAACGACGACGGCGTCGCTACCACGGGCAAGAGGGAGCGACGCTGTATGGTCAGGGCATGGTTGCGTGGCGCCGGTATCGCGGGGCATCGGCGCGGGGAGCCCACACCAGCTGGCTCCCCCGCCCCGATAACGCTATGGGCTTGCTTAAGGGTGGGGGAGAGGTGCTCGCGTGTCTGGCAAAGCGTCGCGGGTTTCACTACCTATCCTAGTCAGCACAGGAAGAATCAGGTTTCTTCCAGCAGAGGGAGTTGGAGGTACTCGACGGGCTGCAACAATCAGACACACAAGTGTCGCACGGATTGAGGCAAGGTGCCTAGATTCCGTCATAACATAACAGTGGTTAAAATATGACGGGCTGCAACAATCAGACACACAAGTGTCGCACGGATTGAGGCAAGGTGCCTAGATTCCGTCATAACATAACAGTGGTTAAAATATTAACTTTAAGAGTTGAGTTTTAAAAACACTTGACACCATATCAAAGAGGTGTTTAGGGTACGAGTTCAATCACGATTTCAGGTAAAGGTATGCGCATACGCATCAGCACAAACAACAGGATTAAGATGTTGTTCGCCTAAAGTGCAAATTTGGTTACCTATTGCGCCACCAACATCGTCGTGTCTTGGCCCAGAAAACCAGTTATACTCAGATATGATGATATTCCCCTCGTTCAACAACTTACGGACAGACGACAGCATTGCGAATTTGGCTGATCAGATGGTTTAGGGAGATGGGCTAACATGAATCTAAGTCAACCATCTATGGAGTAATGTAATCTGTGAAACCCACATCTACTGTTCTAACAACCTCGGTGTGACATACGGTAGCGATGATGCGTAAGGACCATGACAGAGCGCCATTGACAGAGCCCTACACCATCCTGTGAAATCCCCTCCGACGACGACGTTGTGGAGACAAAGTTATACAAGGAACCATGCCTGGTAGGCTGGGAACGTTTAAGTGTTGTCGAATGGCCTCCCGATGATTGTCGCACGCGTATTTGAGAGCATGGATCCCTTAAACATGCTCAAACAAGGCTACCATCCACGTATCGCGTCATTCGGGCAACGTGAGAGGCTTCGTCGCTGCCCAGAACAAAACTATACAGGGTACCGTACAATGACAGGCAGGGAGCGAACAAGTGTTGTCGAATGACGTCCCGGTGATTGTCGCGCACGTATTTGAGAGCATGGATCCCTTACATATGCTCTAACAAGGCTACCATCCACGTATCCTGTCATTCGGACAACGTGAGAGGCTTCGTCGCTGCGCAGAACAAAGCTATACAGGGTACCGTGCAAGGACAGGCTGGGAACGCACGAGTGTTGTCGAATGACGTCCCGGTGATTGTCGCACACGTATTTGAGCGCATGGATCCCTTACACATGAACTAACAGGGCAACCATCCTCGTATCGAGTCATTCGGACAACTTGTGAGGCTTCGTCGCTGCGCGGAACAAAGCTATACATGGAACCGTGCAAGGATAGGGTGGGAAACGTATGAGAGTTGTCGAATGACGTCTCGGCGATTGTCGCACACGTATTTTAGAGCATGGATCCCTTACACATGCCCTAACAAGGCTACCACCCACGTATCGTGTCATTCGGACAACGTGAGAGGCTTCGTCGCTGCGCAGAACAAAGCTATACAGAGAACCGTGCAAGGACAGACAGGGAGCGAACAAGTGATGTCGAATGACGTCCCGGTGATTGTCGCACACGTATTTGAGAGCATGGATCCCTTATACATGCCCTAACAAGGCCGCGGAGAGTCACTACACAACGGGAGTGGACTACGGAGGAAGGCACGGGGTTGTGCGGGTGATCGAAGCGTTGCGCTAGGTGTTCTCGCTACTTGCTGTGTTCACAAGGAAATGTGTCAAGAGTTTCAGTAAGAAATTGAAAGAACATTAGATTACAATGAGGCATGCAAGTCGATATAGCTAGAATGGCATTGCAACACCTAGCAAGCCCTCTGCAAGGCGAACTATGCCAGCGCAGCAGAAGAGCGGCTTGCCAACGCTGCAGCAGAGTAGTCTGCCAGCGCGGTATAGCAGCGGTCTGCCAGCGCGGTATAGCAGGTCTGCCAGCGCGGCAGAGGCAGGTGAACTTCTGCGCAGGTGCGCACCTACCAAGTAGGTGCAGGTAGACGGACGCGCCGCCAGGCATATTGTGCAGGTGCCAGGTAGAACACGTGCCGACGGTTTCGTCAGCGATGCACCGTTGAGCACGTGATGTCGTTCCGCAGGTTGACTTCGCGAAAACCTCCTGGGCGACATTCGCCCACATGACGAATTTCGCAGTCGCGCGGCTTCCGTAGAGTAGTTCGACGAATGCTTCGTCGAGCAGTTTTCGCCTAGACGAGCCCTCTGCCAGCCTCGTCGAGGAGCTCCTATACCGGCCTTGAGGAGCTCCTATACCGCCTTCGTCGAGGAGCTCCTATACCGAACGGATCCCGTCGAACCGAGCTCCTCGACGGACTTGTCGACCAGCGACTTCTGCGAGCCCGTCGACCGCGTCCTCTGCGAGCCCGTCGACCGCGTCCTCTGCGAACGCGTCGAGGTCGAACTATACGGGCAGGTCGAGGTCGAACTCTGCGCGCAGTCTACGACAACTTCTGCGCGCTCCCCAACTGCGAAGTCCGCTTCGCCCAAGCGAGGGCTGGGCCAATTCCCGTCAACAAAGGCTACCACCCACGTATCGTGTCATTCGGACAACGTGAGAGGCTTTGTCGCTGCGCAGAACAAAGCTATACAGAGATCCGTGCAAGGACAGACAGGGAGCGAGCGAGTGTTGTCGAATGACGTCCCGGTGATTGTTGCACAAGTATTTGGGAGCATGGATCCCTTACACATGATCTTACAAGGCTTCCATCCACGTATCGTGTCATTCGGACAACGTGAGAGGCTTCGTCGCTGCGCATAACAAAGCTATACAGGGTATCGTGCAAGGACAGGCTGGGAACGAACGAGTGTTGTGGAATGACAGCCCGGTGATTGTCGCGCACGTATTTGAGAGCATGGATCCCTTACACATGCTCTAACAAGGCTACAATCCACGTATCCTGTCATTCGGACAACGTGAGAGGCTTCGTCGCTGCGCAGAACAAAGCTATACATGGTACCGTGCAAGGACAGGCTGGGAACGCACGAGTGTTGTGGAATGACAGCCCGGTGATTGTCGTGCACGTATTTGAGAGCATGGCTCCCTTACACATGCTCTACCAAGGCTACCATCCACGTATCCTATCATTCGGACAACGTGAGAGGCTTCGTCGCTGCGCAGAACAAACCTATACAGAGAACCGTGCAAGGACAGACAGGGAGCGAACAAGTGATGTCGAATGACGTCCCGGTGATTGTCGCACACGTATTTGAGAGCATGGATCCCTTAAACATGCCCTAACAAGGCTACCACCCACGTATCGTGTCATTCGGACAACGTGAGAGGCTTTGTCGCTGCGCAGAACAATGCTATACAGAGATCCGTGCAAGGATAGACAGGGAGCGAACAAGTGTTGGCGAATGACGTCCCGGTGATTGTCGCACACGTATTTGGGAGCATGGATCCCTTACACATGATCTTACAAGGCTTCCATCCACGTATCGTGTCATTCAGACAACGTGAGAGGCTTCGTCGCTGCGCAGAACAAAGCTATACAGGGTACCGTGCAAGGACAGGCTGGGAACGAACGAGTGTTGTGGAATGACAGCCCGGTGATTGTCGCGCACGTATTTGAGAGCATGGATCCCTTAAATATGCTCTTACAAGGCTACCATTCACGTATCGTGTCATTCGGACAACGTGAGAGGCTTCGTCGCTGCGCAGAACAAAGCTATACAGAGAACCGTGCAAGGACAGACAGGGAGCGAACAAGTGATGTCGAATGACGTCCCGGTGATTGTCGCACACGTATTTGAGAGCATGGATCCCTTACACATGCCCTAACAAGGCCGCGGAGAGTCACTACACAACGGGAGTGGACTACGGAGGAAGGCACGGGGTTGTGCGGGTGATCGAAGCGTTGCGCTAGGTGTTCTCGCTACTTGCTGTGTTCACAAGGAAATGTGTCCAGAGTTTCAGTAAGAAATTGAAAGAACATTAGATTACAATGAGGCATGCAAGTCGATATAGCTAGAATGGCATTCCAACACCTAGCAAGCCCTCTGCAAGGCGAACTATGCCAGCGCAGCAGAAGAGCGGCTTGCCAACACTGCAGCAGAGTAGTCTGCCAGCGCAGTATAGCAGCGGTCTGCCAGCGCGGTATAGCAGGTCTGCCAGCGCGGCAGAGGCAGGTGAACTTCTGCGCAGGTGCGCACCTACCAAGTAGGTGCAGGTAGACGGACGCGCCGCCAGGCACATTGCGCAGGTGCCAGGTAGAACACGTGCCGACGGTT